TTCAGAAAGGAAGGGTATCAGGAATGGAGTGGGTAGCGAAGGAATAAGGAATGAGATAAAGCAACTGGGATATGTTATGTACAAGCACCAAGTCCACAAAAAATATGTAAACATTCTGTACTGCAAGCACGTACCAAAAGAAAAAAGAAAGGAAGGCGATCAAGAGATGGGTGGAAGAGGTGGGGAGGGAAGAGAAAGAATCTGGAGAAAGGAATTGAAATGTATTATGTACATTTACCCTCCTCCTCCAAGGAATGTAATCATTATGACATACACACATGTACTAACAAACTAAAATAATAATAATAAAAAAATTAACCAAAACACCCTAGTCGAATAAATCTAAGAAAAACAAAACTAACTTACAATGTTTCCAATTCCAAAGCCATTGTGACTATGTTCTCAAGTGCTGTAAGTGGCACATGTGTTTGTCCCAAGTCTCTGAAAAGAAAGCTCAGATGGAAATGAGGAATCCCAATACAAATATTCTCTACTTAAACAGGTTCAAGAAAATGCGACTTTCTTGTCAAATTTGGCTACTTAACAAGCCAGCACATGATTTTCTTTATCATAAAATACAAACCCAGGGAGCTCTTCATGAAGAAATTCATGTTTAACATTTGCATCATCAAATTAATGACTTTGGCATTAAATAGTAGAGCCTATACCTTGTTTCAAATCATCATCTTACTTCTCATTTTTATTTTGCAGTCATCTGTGTGTTTTTTATTTCTTATGACAATGCCAGTATGCTTTCTGGGGTAAATGATGTTCCTACATCCACTTTATATGTTCCCTTTCTACTGTGTCCCTCAACACTGCTCTCTACCCCTGCTAATTGTTAATTGTTACCTGCTATACATCTTCTCTTAATTTTTTCCTTTCCCAGTAACTTTTTTCAATAGCCTGATTAAAATTAAAGTTACAACTTTCAGAATGAAAGTACAATACCTAACCTCTGATGGAAGAAAGCAAGAAGACAGAAGCTGTATCAGAACTTACACAATTATTGGAATACCATACTTACAGATATTTTAATGCTGGTAATTTAAAAAGAGATGAATCTTTGACAGTCCTCAGAGGATTATGATTGAGAATTCTGAAAAATGCAATAGAATTAAACTCTGCATTTTCAATATGCATGAGATTACAAGAAAAATGAAACTTGTAGGTTAAAAAATCATTTTCTGTGACTACCTCTGCATAACCCTTAGAATGCAGAAAGCTCTCTTCTTTGGGAACTAAGTAGGTCTCTAAAAGATAAAGTGGAAATGAGAAAGAGGGAGGCATATATATATAAAATATATGCTATATTTTAGCATAACATGGATAGAAAAAAAATATGTGAAAGAGTAAAAACCCTAAAGGTAATGCTCTCACAAGAAATCTTCACCCTACAGGAAATTCTGTATTTAGTATCCTTCATAATTCAAGGTCACAGTGAGTCAGTGGTGCTACTGGGAGCCACGTAGCTTGTTCTTGCCTGGTGAGCTTCCCATTCAGCACATTTTTCCAGATGTGGTTTAACTTGCTTCACTTGTAACATTAACTAATATTCAATAAGA